TATATGCGATAATTACATTGTTCACCCACGCGAATTTAATGAAAAAAAAATCCAAACAAATTAGTACGTTAATTCTGTTGTCTTAAAATAATCACCTTGAATTTATTGTTATTAATAAACATTTTCAAGTTCAAGGACTCGCTATAAAAATATTTACATATGTAATTTTCTTTTGTTTCATAAGATTTGCAAATATAATTTCATTTCCAAAAGTCATTGTAGAGTAAATACTACAGATAGTAATTGAGTAAAAAAAACACAAGGCATTTTTATGTTATATTGCATTATGGGTAGGTACGTATTTTGTAAAAATGCAAAAACTATGTAATTTGATATTTCACAAACACTTTATTTGAAACTACAGTAAATATGAAAATCATACTTTTTTGTATGCTTTTATAAATAATACCTACCAATTTTTTTTTTGTTTACTAGAAAACTAATACTATCATTTCGCCTCAGTTTTTAAATATTCACCTTAAAATTAGTAACTACCAAAAAAGTGCACTTAGTTTATATTGTACTATTTTAGAAATAATATATTTGTAACAGACGGAAACTTGAATACTGAATAAGACTTACAGGAAACAACTACTCAACGGGCAAAAGCCCCGTCCTGCGTTGAATTAAACCTGCAAGTCTTGTTTGGTAGCTAAGATCATTTATCAATATGCTGCCAATTAACTACTGCTTAATCCTATTTAATCTAGATATCAATCTTTTTTTTACTTCGTTGAGTAACTTTTAGGTCCTTAGTAAAATAATTCATTGCTCAATTAACAAATCAATAATTTATAATAATTACAATTTAAGAAATTCCAATTACAACATCTTCATTGTTTATAATAGGTGTGTTAATGAATTTTGGTGACTATTATAAAAATTCCATTAGGTTTTTACTGTTTATTTTTATGTTATCCGAATTTAGAAAATGAGGTTTGACTCCACTTTACCTTATGTGTGACATAACTAGTGAATCATTTAACTGTCCCTGAACAAAGTCTACGTTCGGTGAGATCATACAGATCGCGGTCCTTTAACTCTAAAATCACATGTTAACAATCTATTAAAAATACCACACTATTGTCTATATTCAAATATAATTGCCTGGGGTTAATGTTTTATGTTCCAACTATAAATTAACAAAAGAATCTGCATTGCTTGGTACTGCTTTAATATCTTGAGCACATAAAATTACGCCTGTTTTCAGCAAATGTGTTTTTGATTTAACTACAGTTGAAAGTTGCAACTGAACAGCTGCTGAATTTATCGGTAGTAGCAAAAGTTGGAAAGACTTTTTCGGTAACAAGCATTAGGATGGCAGTTTATTTAAGAATTTGTATCAACCTTGGTGAAGTTCTTTGGTAAGAAATTTCCCCCAGGTATCAAGATAACTCGAATTCGAGGATGTGTGGAATTATTTATCAGTAAGCCTGGCCAAGGTCATTAATCCTACAAAGACGTACTGGGTATGCATCATATCATAATACTTGAATAAGTACAATAATAAAAATAGAAATATTTTATATATTGTGATGTATGTTTTTGTACTATTTCGTTCGCTTTAAATTCTTTTTTATGTATTTTCTTATATTTTATAATCTTAGTGCTGCACATTATTATTAAACTGTTAAATGACGTTCACACATGTACATTGTATATCTAAGTGATAACTAATAATAAATAAATAAATAAATAAAATAAATGGAAATAAATTTTATTAATACTGGTACACTTTATAAAAATATGTACAAAACTCACCTTCTTAAGCAAATTTATGAAGTAGCTTGGTTGTCATTATCACAAACTGGAGCACTTCTATAATAACTGTGTAGCATCAGATATGTTTCTACAGTTGTCTCAGTAAGCGATGTTCGCTGTGGTGAAAAAATATGTTTGTATTTCGAAAAAGACCGTGCGACATCTACGGAAGTAATACAGGCATGAGTAAAACACTCTGTGAACTCACTTAACGCAGGTGTAGATGTACCATCACAAATTTGTCTTAATTTGGTAAAATTAGGATCTTTCCGTAATACACTCTCGAATGTTTCAATAACGGGCTTATTTTTTGCGTCATTTATAGTCTGTAGCTATGTATTTACGTCGTCCACTATTTGCAGCGATTCCACTAACGAGAACGAAGTATTTTGCAATTTTTCTATTGCGCCGTGTAGTCCTCTATAATTGTTATAAATAGTTTTTAAATCTGTTTCAAGGGAAACATCTTGAAAGCTTGTCTGGCTTTCCTTAATAACTGCAGCCTCGTTAGGGTTGAACTGTAGTATTACAGCTTTTATTTGTTGGAAATATTCAGCATAATAAAAAGCTGCCTTCAATCACGTTCCCCAACGTGTAAGAATCGGCTCTGGTGGTTCCGGAATACCAGGACACAGTGTGTGAAATGCTCGACGCCGTTTAGGAGATTTGAGAAATACTTTTTTTGTATTTGCTATTAATGCATCTACCTCTGGAAAACATTTTCGAATCGTTTCTGCTACAAGATGGAACGCATGCACTTTACACGTAACATGTAAAAACCTACAATTTAAAGAAAACGGCCCACCAAACGCATTGTCGCAGCACCGTCGGTCACAAACATTAACACTTGACTTGTTGACAGTTCAAATTTTTCGAAAGGGTCCAACACCACCCACGTAATTGTTTCGCCAGTACACGCAGTTAGTCTTTTGCTAGCTAGTAAAAGTAGAAATGTTGGTTTAACAGGGTCGAGTACACGTACTATAACATTTAAAATAGAATTTTTTTTACAATCTGTCGTCTCGTCAACACATAACCACAGCCGTATATTTTTTAATGCACATTTAATCCTATTTACAATGTCTTCACGAACACTTGGTACATATCTACGTAACGATGAACGACTTAGTAAATTCACCTGGAGACTGTATTTATTCCAGAACTCCCGAAATGCTGGTTTATCCAATATGCGCAGGGGAACATCACAGGCAATCAGCATTAACAGTAAATCAAACATAAACTGAGGTTCCAAAGAAGACACGCCATTTTTTTATTTTTATGCCAGTAAGTCTTGATCACAAACTTTACAAATTATTTTACATCCATCATAGAATAAATCCGGAAATTCACCGATAAATTTATTCATTTTATCAGCGTACGGTCGTTTTCTACTCTTTACACTCAACATTATTTATTATTTATTAGTACTCTATGCATCAACCGACAGATAACAACTGAAGTGTGTCGTGTCATCGTCATCGTAAACAAACGCGCGATGGCATTGGTATTGCGCCCGACCCTGAATCTACCATCGCTTGGCCAGGCTTATTTATCAGCATTATTATATTCCCCGAAAAAATAATATATAAAAATAAGCACACATGAATACTCATATACTATCTGGACAACAGCAGTGCGAGCAGGTAAATGATTGTTCTTTTCTGTTCAAATATAATATATTGAGACACTTCTGTATACATGTTTCTGTCTAATATCAGGAACACGAATGCGAAGAAGATTTCAATTTTGTTCAATAATAATTTAAGCCGGTTAAATCTCTCCCCATTAGGATGGCAACACACCTGTTGCCATCCTAATGGGGAGGTATATAATTAATTGTTAGGAGCTTCAATATTAAAAACCTTGATCTAAAAATAATATTTTAGAGATTAATATCTATGTTCGTATTTTACTGACATTTACCATTAAAAAATTATTAATAAACTCACATAATTTAATCTTAAGTACTTTCTGATTTGTACTGTAGGATAAGTAATTAAATAAGATCTAGTATGATAGAAGATTAAGACAGGGCCAAGTAGCGTGTCGTGTGGCTCGCCACAGGAAAAATATACTCAGCGACCAAAGTAAAGCAAAGGATTCGTCCATTCGATAGCAGATGCGATTAGGTGGTACGCCAGATGATTTTGAAGAAACACAGATTTCAGTGATTGACTGAGACATTGCCTTTTTGAGTCATGGATATGGAGATTGTTTACCTTTTTGTATTTTTTTTGTAGAAATAAAAATTTGCTAAATGAGAACATTATTAAGATTTATTTTTGATTAAATTCAATAAACGGGTTTATTGACTATGTCTCCACATTGTCATATTGTTTTTCTTTGTTTGTTAACAATTACTTTTATCGATTTATTTGCAATGTACATGAATATTCTATACCAAAATGTTTGAAATTGTGTATCACAAGAACAGTTTCTAAATTGGTATAATTTCTATTATTAAAATTCTCACTTCATTCATTAAGAAATCGTAAAACATCAAGGTTTAACACACTGGAGTAGTTTCATAAATAGTTTTATGTGTAATATTGGGAAATAAACTTCATTTAAACAGCGTATTAAATATTAATAAAATATATATAAAAAATTTAAGGTCAGTAAGAATTTGTCATATGAATAGATAATGCTGAATTAAATTACTTTATAGTAGAACAAATGGACATACTTAGTGGTCAGATTAAATAAGGAACTGCAAGTTTTTGTTTTATAAGTTGCTTTTTTTAATGTCTCAAAATTAAACCTTAGAAGGAATGCCAACTGTTTACTCCAACCAATATTCAAGTAAGGACAAATTCCTTTCCCAAAATAACGCCAGTTGCACAGTCGGAAATGGAAATCGTTCCAAAAATATACACCTGTTAGATATTGTTTTCAAGTAACAAAATAGTACACGTAATTTTCTTTATTTTAAAAGTTTTCGAAGATCTCAAGTTTATTAGATCTAAGAACTGTAATAAAAAATATGTTGGACAAACGAGACTATTAAATGAAAATAGGCTTAAAGATCATGTGGCCCATCTTAAATATGAAAGAACATCTTTTGAGAAGTTACATATTAGCAACTTCAGATTACGGAAAACATTAGACACCACAGGTAATACAACCCCCGTGTATCCGTAAAGCAAAATCATACTGTAGGATAATTCACATTTAGAGACGAGCGACTCACCCAATATCCAAATATGCTGATAATTATTTCTGTTTCCGAAAAAATCAGTTCTCCTCGTGGGGAATCGAACCCGAGCCACCAGAGTGAGAGACGAATGTCTTTATCCTTCGACTACAAAGGTTAATTAGAATAACAATAGACAACAATACCTTTGAGAGCAAAGAAATATAAAAATAATACGAGTAGTAGTTGTTGGTGGTTGGTCTTGATTATGTTGGTACTGTAACGGCCCAACCCCCCCTCGTATCATTTATTATTTAATTTCTATTTTATTTCTAAGTCTCACCTGTCGTGAAGCGACAGGTAATATTTAATTATTTAATTGGCCTTTTTCGTGATCGTCTAGTTTTAGTGGTAGGACCCCAAGTTTGTTGTGTTTATTGTAACCTCACAGGTACGGTTATAAAGTTTGGTATTACTTTGTTTCATTTATAAGATTTAATTTGCTTTAATTTTAATTGGTATACCTGTAGTAATTATTATGACCCCTAACCTGCACTGCACTGATATCTGTTTTAAAAGAGTACTCAATATAAAATTTGACTTTCTGTTTATTATTATTAATGTGCTTGGAATTCACTTTTGTACCTGAAAGTAGAAATAAGTCAAGAAAACTCAAATACCGTTTGTACACCTTTTATTTCTATACTGAGACAACTGTCTACAAGAAATAGATTATAAAACTTACATGAACAAAACCTTGTTACATGTACGGTGGACAACCGTCCACGAAAAATACATAGCTATTTAGCTAGTTGAACCTGCAATGTAACCAAACCTGGTTACATGCGCGGAAACTCCCGCTTCGTAGTTTAAATGACATATGTAGAACTCTACATATGGGTGCAAGAGAAACTTCCCTTGTATGTGGAACAGAGTGTCCCCTGTCACATGAACCGGCCAGAGGCCGACAACCATGCCTTGTTATTGAATTCGCGGGCTGGTGCTACCATAAACAGTATCACAAACACAATTGACGCTTGGCCAACGAAGATTCGATGCATATGCGGAACCCCGACATATGACGAGCACTGCCCGTATTGTTTTAAGCTTTCGATGCATATGCGGAACCCCGACATATGACGAGCACTGCCCGTATTATTTTAAGCTTTGTTAATTTGGCCGTCGCCGCTTGTGTTGTGGCAGGCTTATGGGAGCTGTAGCCATAAATCATTAATCGGTGTATACTGGCTGGCTGGGCCCGGACCCCTGCTGAGGGACAAGGTACGTGCCCAGACAACCGCATGTTTTTGTTGCCGGCGCCTCACCGTCTCACCCGACAGCGGCACCCTGATCCACATATGGGTAATGCACTCTGATGAAATTACAAATATTGCAGATTCAACTGGACATTAAATTTTTGGGTATATTATCTTATTTAGACCTGACTTGAAAAATAAAGGAAAAGTTCCAATGATTATCAAATTAATATTGACTGTTCTAATTATTAGTAAACATGTAATGAGCAGTGCATTATAACAAAAGGCCCTATCTAGAAATCAGGTGGTACCACCGGTCAGATATTGTTAAAAACCGCGAAACCCAAGCATATAGAGTCGTACTTTGGTTAGCGTTGCCACTTTACTCGAAACAAAGGAATTGCATTAATTTCATGATCATTTTACTGGACTCGAGTACGTAGCAAATGGCAACGCAGTATAATAATTATTTAGGTGACATCCTTACCAATTCTGGTATACACGGAGAGTTCCGCGGGGCCCACTCCCCCGGATTCCTGAGTAACACCTGAGTTACTCGCCTCCATGTCGACGGCGGTGTCGGCGGCTAGCGCACGCTAATGCAGCGCGGCGTCCAATGCTAGTTATAAAGGCAAGACAGGGCCACTCTCTTATTTCTCGACTCCTCAGGACAAAAGCATAGGCTTGTGGCTGTCAGAGTCGACCTAGTGCAGAGCTAGATTACACAGAGTCGTACAAACTCTTCGTACCCGGTTCTTTCGAACCAAAGCTAAAAGCTTGGGGGTAGTCAGATGTGGGGCACGAGTCTGCCACGTAGAACTGGACAATCTCTTTGTAGCCGGTTCGTTAGAACCAAAGCGTATAGCTTGGGGCTGTCAGAGATGTGACCACGAGCGTACTTTACCTCGCGTATTTATATGATTTCCCGTGAGTGAATTCGTGGTATAAGCCTGCAAGTTAGACGGAGATAGGCAAACGCTTCAATTTTGGCTTTACCCACGATATGCATTTAGGTGAGAAATAATATAATGACTCTATGTTTACAGCATTGGAATTTCTTAGTAAAACTCTTACAACCCTACGTGTTTACGTTGGTTTGTTTATGTTATTTCCTCTTGACTAAAGAATGCTTTGAGATTTTGTACAGTTTTGTCAATGTTTTAAAATATTAAATGAATACTGTGTGTTCTTTTACTTAGCTGAATAATTTAGACTCTATAGTTTGAATGCATACGTTTTCTGCCAAATTTATAAGAAAATGATTTAAACCTTTTTATGTAATAGTTAATTTGGAATTTAATGATATAAATGCTTGGGAATAATTTAGTTTTATGTAAAAATTATAGGAAATTTATTCGCGATGAAGCAGCCCAGGTCTGGTATGCTTCAGTACATTTTTGTCTTCTCCTAGGAGAGTGATATCTCCAGAGAAATACACGCACTAAATATCCAAGAAACCATCATTTAGTTTGGCGCTTTCGGAATTAATTTTCGTTTGTTTCATTTTGTCTTTTTGACTAGTATTTTTAGGGACCAAAAACTGAACTAAACTGAATAAATTATTAAATTTGGCAACGCGGAAAAAAAGAAAACCATCTTCATCTAATTGACGTCATTAGTAATGTGTTTATACACAACATACTGACCCAAATTACAAATTATTATTAATATATTTTGTGAGAGTTCTTCGTTTTTATTTATTTGTGATCGATATGATTGACGTCAAAATTGCAAAAAATTGCAGTAACCATTTAATTTTGTCCCTTCCAAAGATAAAGATATTTTGAACGATTGTCTAATACATTTTTTAATAATTTAAATATAAATATTTAATAAGATTTTCAACCACGCGGTTTGTGTAAATTGGCATATTATGTCATGGACTAACTTGTTTCAAGTAAAGAAAAATAGGAGGTAATTATTTATTCTTTATGTACTAAGCGTAGGTATTCCAGTTCTATTTGAAAATGTTCACTGGATAATAATAAGCTAAAAATATGGCATGACTTTGTTAATTGCTATTAATATTATTTATTGGGCCGTACGATTAAATGATGATTGGGTTAAAAATGTTCAATCCTTTTATAATGAGTGATTTTAAATTTGCGATATTTGTCCCCACCAATCGTAAATAATAGACAATTTTAACCACTTTTACGTAAGAAAGTAAGCAAAATTTTATATTAGTTTAAGTAGAGCAATATAAATGACTATTTCCCTCACATTATAAGAACCAATAAAATAGCAAGATTTTGAAAATTTGTACCAATAAGAACAAACTTTCAGCGAAAATTTTACATAAAATGACGGCGAAAATAGCACTGGACTTGACAGCCTACAACGTCAGTTGAATCATATTTCTTGTTCTATGTTTTTCCTGGAAATAGTCTAATAAACCGCATTCGTTCATTTTGATGTGGTTAGTAAAGCTGCAAATCGTTTCTGTGTATCATGGTCGTAGAGTACAGATATACTTACTGTCGCCGGCATTCACCTTGATCTCGAAACTTTTTCTCCAGTCCAGTCTATTATTAGCTTTCGAGTTGTGTACACGTTAAGTCACTTGGGTATTGAATATTGTTTTTGTATTTTTATTTTATTTGTTGTACTGTATTGTTGATATCAATTTAATAATAAAGCATGGCAGACGTACACAGTGGTAGACAACGGCCATTTGCTGACAACGTGACTAAATTCATAGGTAAATTCCCAGATGATTGTGCTAAAATAATTTGTAAAGTGTGCGAGAAAGATTTGATGTGCTGGGATAAGCGTGATTGTGGACTTCACGTAAATAGTGTACACCATACAAATAAAAAAATGGCGTGACTTCGACAACATAGTTTATGTTTTATTTACTATTAATGCTCATTGCCTATGATGTTCTGCTGCACATACTCGATAAACAACCATTTCGAGAATTCTGGAATAAATACAATGCCCAGGTGAAGTTACCAAGTCGCACAACGTTATGTAACTGTCTACCAACTGTACACGCAGACATGGTAAATAAGATGAAATGTGAATTAAAAAATACGCGGCTGTGGTTATCTGTTGATGAGACAACAGATTGTAAAATAATTCTATTTTAACTGTTATAGTAAGAGTACTGGACCCTCTTAAACCGACAGTTCCACTGTTACTAGCTAGCAAAAGACTAAGTCAGTATACTAGCGAAACAATTACCAAGGTGGTGCTGGAGACGTTAGCAAAATTTGAACTGTCAAAAAGTCAAGTGTTGATGGCGCCGTGACAATGCGTTCGGTAGGCCGCTTTTTGCAAGAACAAGGTTGTACGTTTATACATGTTAGGTGTAAAGTGCATGCTTTACATCTTGTGGCAGAAGCTATTCGAAAAGGTTTTCCAGAGGTGGATGCATTAATAGCAAGTACAAAAAAAGTGTTTCTTAATTCTCCTAAACGTCTCCGTGCATTTCATAGCAAGTGTCCCGGTATTCCTTAACCGCCACAGCCGATTCTTACATGTTGGGAAACATGGTTGCAGGCCGCTTTTTATTATGCTGAATATTTCCAACAAATAAAAGCTGTGATACTACAATTCAATCCAGATGAGGCTGCAGCTACTAAGGATAGCCGGACAAAATTCGAGGATATTTTCGTTAAAATAGCTTTAAAAAATATTGCGAAAAACTGTAAACCATTACATGAAAGCCTAAAAAAAAATAGAAAACAGTTCGTTGTCGTTAGCGGAGTCACTGCAAATAGTGGACGAAGTAAATCTACTGCTACACGCTATAGGTGACGCAACAAATGAGAGCGTTAAAGAAAAGTTCGCAAGTGTGTTAAATTAAGACACCGGTTTTACCAAATTAAGACAAATATTTGATGGTGCAGCCCCAGATCCGTTAAGTGCGTTCAAAGACTATTTTACGTATGCGTGTATTACATCAGTAGATGTCGAA